TTCCATTTAAGTTTCCCTTAATAAATATACTTTATTCCTCAAATATACATTATCAATATATTTGAAAATTTTGATTTTCCTAATTATCTTTTAATAGAGTTTAAAAAGAATGAGAATTAAGTACATTGATAATGCCCTCATCAATCACCCTATCACTATCCCTATTCACATCGATAATTGCATCTTTTACCCTCTATCCACTTATTCCACAACTATGTCAACTCCATTTCTTACTAACCTTTCAAAATTAGAATAATTTTTTTCCCAATTTCCGTGGATTCTCTTTATCTACTCATTCAAAGTCATGAAATTATATATTGTATATATTCCTTTACACACATACATGCATACATATGTGTAATTATGTATGTATATATATTATATTATAAATTGCAATTATGTTAGTTATATTGTATGGATTAAGTATTGAGTTGTAAATAAATTTTTTATAGACGTTTATATCATGACAGCTCTGTGAATATTATGATGGATTAATGGTAAAAATATGAAGATTTATTAAGGAATGATTATAATTACGTGCCTTGGGTATGTATAAGAAGGGTAGATTTACACATATAAGATGAATAGACAAAATTAAAGGAAAATAGGTTGTGATGATGATGATTATGATATTCAAGTCTATATAAAAACATACATACATATATACTATATAAATATAGATGTATCAATGCATAAAACCTAAATAATAATAAAATACAATATATAAATAAATAATACATTAGTTATTGATTTTTACATATTATATTATTGTATTTTATAATATTATAATATAATTAAAAAATTATATATTTTGCATGTATGTGTTAGTTTATGGGTGTATATGTTCATGAGTGGCATGATGACTATGCAAAGAGGTGAGTATTGCGTTTAATTACTTCCAAAGTAACTTTAGAGCTATGATGCACTGACACAGACATGACACGACACGGAAACGGGACACGTCAATTTTTAAAAATATAGGACACGGGTGCGGCGTGGACACGGCATAATAATTGTTTTAATATAAAGATATACTAAAAAGTTAAGGTGACGTCATTAGTAGGTAAGAATGACAAGGCAACAATAAAATCAATTTCAGTGATAATGTTGGTTTAGCTTATACATACAAGATGTTTGAGTACAAAATGTCTAATACAACGCCAAATGAAAAACAAAAAATTCATTTAGTACGACATTGAAAGATGCACAACTACTCAATAGGAGGAATGATAGGAAGATAATATGTAGATGTTGGTCTTTTGGCCTTCAAGTATCATGTCATATTGAATATCATGTCAGCTGTCAATGCTGGTTCATCTAGAGAAAGAATTTTGCAACCTCCAATACCATAATTATGCAAGGTCAGTCGAACCCATCTCCAGACATCCAGCATTTGGTATCACCGTGTTAGTATAAGTGGGGTGTTTCTTGAAGCAAGACGAGAGATTTAGTAATGATATAACTAAATCTTTCAGCACAGTTGTGGAGTTATTTTAAATGCTCTTCATTGATTGAATAAATGATATGTTGCTGCCAATTTTCTGCAATCAACAAGAGAGAGGTTGATCTTTAACCAAGGTAGTTTATTGCTATTGTTGTGAAGAGAGCGTGTGCATGAAGTCAATGAATATAACTCACGCACTTTTTGAATCCATCATCATACTATGAACGCAAGATTCTTGATCACGCAAAACCTCTAAAATAAGCCAATGAACTTTGCAAGTTGAAAGCTATGACTTAATTTTTTCTTCTCCTCTCTCATTTGGAATGAATTTTTTCAAGCTATACTCTTTTCATAATTGAAACTGATAAATCTTTTGTGGTGAGACAACGTATGAGGGTCCTTACTTGAATGGCTATTCTTTACTTGAATAACTTTAAATAAATAAAACAGTATAGAATTTATCTGTTATTTACCAACAAATTTAAAGTTATTTAAGAGTGAATATAATAATACCCGTTGGATTTAATGAAGTTGAGCCAAATAATGCAAAGTGTGTGTGTGCTTTTGCTCCACCTATTTTCAAGAATGGTATAGACAATGCTCCAAAAACTTGAGTCTTCATCAAGTGACTTTCTTTCATGTCTGGTTTATAATTTCTTTCACTTTTGCTACATATATGTCTCACATCTCATAAATCAAAATGTAGGCATGATTTATCTGTGTCAGCCTCTCTCACATATTCATAAATTTGATCAGTGAAAGCAAAATATAGTGCTATATTATCCCACCAAAATCATCTAAGGCCTTTTCTTTTAACATATCTTGTTCTTCCCAACATCATTTTAGATGTAAGCAAGACAGGTTTCAACTAATCACGATGAGATTAAGGAAGCATTTTTAATTTGTTTGAATTTCTCAACATAATTATTATAAAGGCAAACGAGTTTCAGCAACAGCTAAACATTTTCAAGTGGGAGAAATCATTAAACATTGAAAGTCTCATCGATGGTTCATAATAACCATTTTGATTAGAACAGCGTCATCATGTAACCACTGTTATCAAATGAATTCGACATAGATAGATTTCATTTAGCTTCTGTAATTCTTTGCTGGCACAAATATTTTTTTTAGAGACAAGATTTAAAGTGTGCACACACAGGGTGTCCAAAAGTATGGGTATGGTTTGCTCCACCATTATGCATCAGCTCTACACACCCGGTGCATTAATCTGTAATAACCTGCACAACATTTGAAAGGTCCAATCATAACTATCACGTCTTTAATCAAAATTGGCAATAAAATGTTTATCCTTATATATTCTCCTTTCACAATTCACTGCTTTAATAAACATGTGGGTAATTCTCTATAACGGCCATGAAATTAATAGGGGTCTTCTTTTGAGGATCTGTCAACCATCACATACCAAACTAACACTTTTTTTTTCCACACTTCCTTTGTTTGGTTCAAGCAATGTCTCAATATATGTGCTCTTTCTCTTTCCAATATTTCGATCTTAATGCAATTGTAGGCCAGGTGGAGACATATCCTGCGAGGTTGTTGTTTACATGCAAAAATGAATACATTTTTATAATGAGGAATTCCTTGAAGATTGAAAGGAAGTCCCGCTGAAAAAACATCCTTGCTATTTTCACCATCCAATGTCCTCTCGTTGCGGCTATGCAATTAAAGCTTCTTTAGAGGACTACTGGCTACTTTTTTTATTTTCTTTATTTCATATCCTTCACTTCTTCTAAATGATAAAGCTTGATCAATTCTCACAGATGAGGAATGAAGTGGTGGGATTGAGCCATGAGTAGATGGCAAAGGTATTCTTTTAGGGAGTGTCCTTTGGATCCTGGGATTCAGGCTTCATTAATTAGTTGTTATGTATCATTCAACTACGATGTAGTAATCTTAGACACATTTTTGTATTGCCATTGGCAGGAAATTTTAAGTAGATTTGGCTTTTCAACCGCTAGAGATAAGAGTCCTTTGTAGGTGTCACCACAATAATTGCATTTGAATGACACATTCCCTCCTTCAAATGTTTTTCCTAACTTTGTAACATGAATCCATAACGACTTATCAGTTTCTACAGATGACTCTTTTAAACCTTCACCTAATCCACTTCCGCCAGTAGCAGAGCTCATTTTGCTACCAAACCAATCATACATATGAATACATTAAATTAAATTGATATGAAGTGAAATCAAAATATCCTAATAATAAGACAACATGAATACAACAATATACCGGTCTACCGAGGGTCCAAGGGGGCGCTGCCCCCTGGCGGGGTTCGACCTGCTTGTATGGGAAGGTACCGAGTATGTACCTAGCAGTACCGAGCATATATTGAGCAATATCGAGCATGTACTGAGCGGTACCGAGATGTATTGAGCGGTACCGAGCATGTACTTAGCGGTACCGAGCATGTACTGAATGGTATCGAGCATGTACTGAATGGTATCGAGCATGTACTGAGCAGTATCGAGCATATATTGAGCAGTACCGAGCATGTACTGAGTGGTACCGAGCATGTACAGAGCGGTACCGAGCATGTACCAAGCGGTACCGAGCATGTACTGAGTGGTACCGAGCATGTACATTAGGCTTTTCAACAATGAAGAGAAGAAATTGCGAAATCCACTTACAGGTCTTGGCTCTCTTGCACGCAGAAGGTGCTCTGTTTGGCCTTGATTGCGAACTTCGCCTCGGATGACCGCAGAAATCACGCAAGAATGAAGGAATGGGAAAGACGAGCTCTGCTTGGCCTCGGCTCGAGCAAAGATGACGAAGGAACGGGAGGCGAAGGCAGCGGGCTCCGCTTGGTGTCGACTGCGAGCTCTCTCGGTCCGCCCTAGAAGATTTCTTTCGTGGATCGAAAAAATATGGCTTCTAGTTCGCGGAAAATGCTAAATAGAACGAACGATTTTATCATTTAATAACCGGACATGCATGTCCGACACGTGTGTCCGATTTTAATTTTATAAATTGCGACACTCCAATGCCGTGTCGGACACGTGTCCATGCCGTGTCCAACGCGTGTCCGTGTCCGACACTACATACCCTCTTTAAGAGGTGTGTCGGTGCATCATAGCTTTAGAGCATGCGAGGTCCAAGTGAATGGGCAATGAATCCTACGTATCACTTTCTGGGGAACACGTCTCTTCTCACTTGCACCATTAACCTAAATAGTCAACATTATTCACTTTTCACTTCTCATTTCTTACTTCATGTTTAATGTGACCAATTAAAAAAAAAAATCTTATAAAGAAATAGTGGAAGGTGGATGCTTCCGAGTATGGAAAAGAAATCCCACAATCAGGGATTCTTTTAAAATACTTTTTTTGTTAGGTATTTTAACAAATAATAGCAGAAGACACCCCATCGTCAAACTGGTGAATTCCTAGTGTCAAGGGCCATATGATGGTGTTTCCCCACTCAAGAATTTCTCCTAAATTATAAAATACTTTTCTATGAATTTTTCTGGCTCTTGCAATATAATGTATTTGCTTTCTGACTTGGTCCAATCTAACATAAGCTTTTCCTCGTGAAGTTTCGTGAGAGGGGATCAATACGCAATTGCACTGGCAATGCTTGATGAAGGAAAGGTGGTGTTGGGTGTCTTGGCATGTCCAAATCTTCCCCTAACTCCAATTAGCAGCACTTATGAACACTCTTCTAAAACTGAATTTGGTTGCCTTTTCTCCGCTAGTATTGGTTTTGGAACAAAAATGGAGTCATTGGATGGCTCCACAACTACTAAGGCTAGTGCTGAGCATTTGTAGAATTTACTACACCATTCTTACATTCATTATCTGTGTTCACTTACAATTCCTTTAACTACAGGTGCACATCAGCACAGTCGAGGAACCAGCTGATGCATCCTTCTTTGAATCATTCGAAGCAGCCCACTCCATGCATGATTTATCTAGCTGCATAGCAGAGGTAACTAAGGATAATCTCATTTTCTGTGGTGGTATAAGTGCATTTGGTGGTTACTTAACTTGTTTATTCCTCTTAGAAACTAGGTGTTAAAGCACCACCTGTGAGAATTGATAGCCAGGCAAAGTATGGTGCTCTTGCACGAGGAGATGGCGCTATTTATTTGCGCTTTCCTCATAAAGGCTATCGTGAAAAAATATGGGACCATGCTGCTGGTTTCATTGTTGTGTCAGGTATGAATAGATAAATCTTGATTGACATCCTTGTATGGGTTAGGCATAAGATGATAATATGTATGCAGCTGGGAGCTTGAAAATGCTCAGTAGTTGTTAGTGATCTCTTCAAGATCTTTATATTCTAGCTATTCTGTAGAGGCTGGTGGTATTGTGACTGATGCATTGACGAATGATTTTGATTTTTTTAAAGGGGAATTTGTTGATCTTGACACTGGCATCAGTTACTATACCACCGGTCCAATGATAATGGAAAATTACCTTGCAAAGATCTCTAAAAATTATACAACAACAACATCAAGCCTTTATACCACTACGTGGGTCGGCTACATGAATTCATTTTCTCCATTGTGTCCTATTAAAAGTCAAATTCTCATTTAAATCTAATTACGAAAGATCATTTCTAATATTTTCTAATCAAATCTTTTTATGTTTGACTCTACCTTTTTTAACATAAGTCAAATATAATACCTCTACTTTCCTAACCGGGTCATCGAAAGGCCGCTGTTTTATGTGACCAAACCATCTAAGACGACTCTCTCTAATCTTTTCACGTATATGCTTATTTTGTATTCTATCTCTAAGGATAAAGCCACTCATCCACCTGAGCATCCTCATCTCTGCCACACTTAACTTAGTATTATGCTTCTCTTTTAATGGCCAACATTTGGCACCATAAAGCATTGCAGGCCTCACCACCATCTTATAAAATTTTCCCTTAAGTTTGAGGGGTACTTTTTTATCACACAACAAGCCCAATGCATTTCTCCACTTCAACCATCCAACTTGAATTCTGCTAATAATATCCCCATCTATTTCACCATCACCTGAACAATAGATCCAAGATATCTAAAACGTATACTCTTATTAATGACTTGATCGCCCAAAGTCACAATCCCCTCACTAGGTCTATTACTACTAAAATTACACTCTATATATTCTGTTTTAGATCTACTCAAGCGAAAACCTTTAGACTCTAAGGTTGACCTCCATAATTCAAGTTTACCGTCAACTCCCTCTCTAGTCTTATCAACAAGAAGAATATCATCAGCAAAAAGCATACACCAAGGTACATCCTCATGCAAAAGTCTCATCCATGACTAAAGCAAAAAGATATGGGCTTAAGGCTGATCCTTAATGTAACCCAACCGAAATAGGGAAATACTTGGTCAAACCACCTTGTGTTTGAACATAAGTAATAGCTCTTGCAAACATATCTTTAATTATTTGAATATAAGTGGTATTAACTCCTAGAAAAATTATAAAGGGCTTATTTGGGATCATTTTTGCTTATTTTTTAATTAAAAAATTATTTGTTTAATGGGTTTTCATTTACTTTTTTATAAATGAAATTTTTAAAGACACTCACAATAACTTTTAGGCATTTTGAGTGTTTTTAAAGTATCACAATTGGCCAATACCACTACCCCTATGGACCATCATAGTTGTCACCGTTACAGGCCATTGCTGCTGCGCCGCTAGTGACTGCCGCCATCATCACATAAATTAACTTATATGGTATTCAATAAAAATAAAAAAAATATATTTTAAGACATCAATTTTATTTTATTTAATATTAAAATATAAATGAAATAAAATAAAAAATAAAAGTGATTCGTAATGGCCCTAAGTATTTTCAAAATGCTAGGTAATTTTTAGTGATCTCTGCTATGTAAATTTGTATTACTGTTGGCCTGCAGAAGCTGGTGGTGTAGTGACTGATGCTTCTGGGAATGACTTGAATTTTTCAAAGGGAAGATATCTTGATCTTGATACTGGCATCATTTGCACAAACAAAAAGTTGATGCCATTGCTTTTGAAAGCAGTGCAAGATTCTCTAAAAGAAAAACTCGCATCACCATCGACGCTGTAAATCATTTCTGAATAATGAACCATTTCTCCCCTGGTATTTTACATTATGTTATTTCACACTTCATAGTTTGAACAAGGCTGATAGGCACATGCATTATCCATTATGTGAGCAGATAGAAACCTGATTCTGTAAGTCGTTTGGACATTCTCTATTGATGTTGAAAATGATATTTATTCTCATTGAACCGCTACTTTTCTGAAGAAATTGTTAAGTCAGAACTACGGCCATTTTCTTATACAATATAATTTGTCTGCAGCCTGTAATCAGTTTAGAAGAATTTGGGTCCATTTATATATTTACAAGTATCTATTTAGACATATTTGGTTAACCCGAATTCACCTAATAAAAACATGATAGGGTCAATAAATATAGTGATTCATTTGATTTGAATTACATGGATATTATGAATAGTAGTTTATATTATACAAATAGTGAGTACTAAGTGCTTAATATGATCTTTAAGAGTTCTTTTAATGCTATAAATGCCTCCTTTCGGAGAGTATGAAGGAAAAGACTCAAGTTTCTTTCTTGCCATGACTCTTCTTCCTCCCCCTCAATCCCCCTTTTTTTGAACTTGCCGATGAACTGGAATGATCATTTATCTCTAAACACTCCGGGATCATATCAGAACATCTCTCTCAGCAAATTGAACCAATGAAAGTTTGCTTTTTTTTTAAACCTGCACTTTGCCTTGTACCCATTTGATAAGTTGGAATCCAGGTTTTGTAATGTTGCAGAATGAATTTTAGAGTACAATGCATCAGCAGAAAGTCCAGGTCATGGCTTGGGTGATGATATGCGAGTTGTGATCATTAGCAATCTTCCTTCCAAGTAAGCTTGAATCAGCTTTTTCAATTAATTTCTCCATTTGATCCTTGTAGAATTTTACATGTAGTTTCACCAATGTGGATCTTGTTGCTCTCTTGTACTCTGTTTCTTAGGGGTTGCTTGGTTCATGCATTTAATCACAGTAGATTAAAGCACCCACCTTAATTACCTTTCTAATTATCATATAATTGCAGATAATCAAATTTATCTTTTTTAAGTGTGTTTTTCTCCATTGCTTTCTCTTGCACTATTGTTTTAAAACTCATTTATTATTTCAATGTTGGGCTTCATTTGAGATTAGGAGTGTCAATATTTGACACGACTTGAAAATTTCAGGTAAGGGTCAACCTGAACCCGAAATGGGTCGGGTTTAGGTTCAGCAAATCGACCCATTTCAAAAATAGTGTTGGATTCGGGTTGACCCAGTAACCCGAAATTGATCTGTTTTGACTCAGAAACCCAAGATTGACCCGTTTTTGACCCACTTTAGATCCAAAAATTGGAGATTGACCCATTGTTTAAACCGAAAATTAACAATTTTTTGTCTATCCCGAGTCATTCGAGTCATGTCGAGTTGACCCGAACCAGAAGCCGGTCGGGTTCGAGTCCGAAAAACTGACCTGTTTGCCGAAACGGGATGGGTTCGGGTTGACCCGAATAGCGTCGGGTCAGTTTTAGGTTTGACCCGAACCCGTAACACGAAATTGACACCCCTATTTGAAATCGCTTTATTATTATTTTTTAAAGCAATTTTTGATATGTAAAAATTTTTGAGCTATAAATTTTTGTACTAAAAATCTACTTTAAAGTTTAAACAGAAAGGAAGTTGTCCCAAACAAAAGAAATTATTACGTGTGGAGTTCGGACGGGGAGAACCGACCGAATTTATTGTGTATTTACTGAATATTTACTACGTATTTGTAAATACTCAGTAAATACTCAACAAATATTTAGTTGTGAGTATTACTGAGTTTATTGTGTGTATTTTGTAAGTATTTGTTGATTTACTACATATTTACAAATACTCAGTAAATATGCAGCAGCTCGGATGAAATCGCTTTCTTATTGTTTTTTAAAGCAATTTTTTAGCTATAAATTTTTGTACTAAAAATCAACTTTAAAGTTTAAACAGAAAGGAAGTTGTCCCAAACAAAAGAAATTATTACGTGTGGAGTTCGGATGGGGAGAACCGTCCGAATTTATTGTGTATTTACTGAATATTTACTACGTATTTGTAAATATTCAGTAAATACTCAACAAATATTTAGTTGTGAGTATTACTGAGTATCTTGTGTGTATTTTGTAAGTATTTGTTGATTTACTACATATTTACAAATACTCAGTAAATACGCAGTAGCTCGGATGGTTCTTTCCATCCGGATTCTGCACAGTAATTAATCCCCACCCCCAACAGCCATAATTTTACTCGTTAAATTTGATTGTTAATTTATATTAAGCATTAGGTGGGATTTCGCCGTACTCAATATACCCATCAAATTCCCATATGTCATTGCTTGCCTCACAATTATTAATATTTTCTTGATTACTTCTTGGAACTTCTGCTTCTTACTCAGTCCACAACTGACAGCGCTGTTTCCATTTTACATCACTTTCTGTCTTGGTTGCATTATGATTGGATTAATATTTATTATATGTGTATTTTTTTAATGATTATGCATTGTTCCTGCTAATTCTTTTTATGTTTTATTATTATATTATTAACTGTTATTAGATAACTGTATATCTAATAATAATTATATTATATTTTCTTCTACTGACATAATTTTTTAAAGATATCATATAGCATGTAGATATTAAGATTTATTTATTTTACTCAGATTTTATTTATATTTCTTTTTCAAATGATTATTTATGAAATCTAATAATATAAAAAAAATTTGATTCCGATTATTCTGAATAAATTTTGTCTTTCGACGTATTAAAAATATTTTTTGAATGCTTGGAGGTTGGTGTAATAGCGCAGCAGAAATAGGCTAAATTTTAAGTACGGAAATATTAACGCTTTTTTTTGTTGGAGTCTAACTAAAAATTAATTAAAGCAACAGGGGCAGGATATTTAAAAAATACAAAACAAAGTAAAAACGTAATCTAATATAGCATCTTTATAAGGAAATGTTAATTCAATTAGCGTTTCTTAAGAAAAAAAAAGATTAGTCTCTAATATATTAGCAATTAACATAAAATATAATACATCATTCAATCAAATTTAGTTACAGACATATATATAGAATAGAAGAAAGTACATCAGAATTTATTATAGAAAAACAATAATAGTAATAAAGTATTATTCTAAACTAGAGCAAATTAAATATACTAAATTTTTAGATTAATTATATCTAATAAGATTTAAAATAATTAGCTCTAACTACTTAATAAATAACATTTTCTCATTACTCTCATACCTTTTTTTGTTTTTACTAAATTATATACATTTTCTTAAATTCAATAGATATTGTTTTGTCTGTTAATTCAATGAATAATTTATTTAATCTGTTTTAATATTTTTTAAAATAATTCCATAGTCAAACACCATTTTTTATCTAATAACTCACTTTATAATTTGATTTCATTTCCCCTACTTTTATATTTAATATTAAAACTGCTCCTTAACCTCCTTAATCTTTTTATTTTTATACAATTTTTATACATAAATAATTTGGATTAATTTCATAATATTATATAATTTAATAATATTAATATTAAATTTTATTAAATACAAATTTTTTTATATAAAACAAAATGTATAAAATGTGGTGGTATTTATTATTAATGAATATAAATAAAACCTCCTTATTAATTTTACATATTTATTACTTACAAATATATATGTATAATAATGTAAATTGAATATATATCAAATAGTATAAGTTTTAATTAAATATAAAAAATATATGCCACTTTTAACAATATTTTATATAAAAAATTAATAAATATTATTATATTAAAAAACACAAACGTATATTAAATATTAAAAATGGAATATAAAAATATTTATTATTAAATTCAAGATATATATTTAGGAATGTATTAAATAAGATTTATTATTTATTTATTATTATAAATAATTTAAGGCAAAATTTTAAATAATATTAATTTATATTTTCAGTGTTCTAGGTTTGAATCTTACTTAGAGCAAAATATTAATTTATATTTTTAATGTGATTTAGAAAACTGAATAGTATAAAAATAAATATAAATTTATGCTTTAGATATATGAATACATAATAATTCTATGGCAAGCATTCAAATCATTATATATAAAGGATGAAATATATGAGAAAATTTTTATCTAAAATTTATTTATAAAGTATATGACATGCATAACACTTAAAACTATCTTATTTACATATTCAACATTTGAATCTTACTAGTTATGTAATATAACATTCAATTAACCTAACAATATCCTCAAAAATAAAGAGGAAATCATGATGAGATATAGCTAAGAAGGATGTAGATGTTTAAGGAGGGCATGATAATAGCTATATCACAAAGTCCAAAGCCTACGCTTGCTTGTTAATTTGGGAAGCTCACTTCATCATAATCGTCAAAAGATAAGAAAACCTGATCAAGACATGAGAGCTCCGTCCCATCTTCTTCACTGCTGGGTTGAAAGCCGCAGCACGTCTCATAGACTCGGCAAACCACCCACTTATCGCCATCCTAATCGTTCAAAAGCAGAAGGAATTCAAATAATTTCTTTGTTCCATTATCTTACAGAAAACTAGAAGTACTTACTGCTACTGTGGAATACCCTTTCTTCTGCGAGCTCTTTCTGCTACTACTCGAACTTCCAAAGCTATCAACTAAGCAGAATTCGTCCATTACCCAATCCTTCTTCATCTCCTCCAATCCATTTCCAGCTTTAAAAACAAAAGTTTTCCTAATACCAACTTCCTTGACAGGCTCATCAACTCCCACCTGCTTCCAGCAGCCGTTAGGTGTTTCTCTGTTATGTGTTCTCTGAGTGAAAAAATACCAGTAGTTTCCTGCTCCATTGAGAGCTTTGCCTGCTTGTTACAGAAACATGCACATCGATACCATTATGTGAACAAAAAAAAGGAAAAAGACTGGAAGGAGATCAAATATGGATGAAGATATATACTAACAATGAAGGTCCCATGGGTCGAAGAGATGGAGATCAAGGGTGGGGATAATGCTGGGATGGAAGGGGAAGAGGGAAGTGACCTTGTTGTGGAGAAAGTGGTTTACGAGCTCGTCGTCGGAGGGGAGGAAGTGGAAGCCGGGCGGGAGATGGCCGGCAGCTTGTTCTGCCATGATTCAAGCTTGGCTTTGAGGAGTGAAGGATGATGGAGGAGATTGAGGCAGTGATAAGGCAGGCTGATGAGATATAAATAAGGAGAGTTCATCACCTACTTAAATGTTTTTGTTTCAAGTCACTATTATTGTCCTCATAATAATAATAATATGTGTTTTGGGGTGATTAGTATCATGCCTTTTTGAGAGGTCTTTTTTGTTTCAATAATTGATGAATGATATGTTGATTATGTACTAATAATCTAATGAAGAGATGAGGCTTATCATCTTAAACATTTATATCTGACCAAAATACCTCTTGATGAAGATAATTTTGATCTCCAATTATTTGGAGAGTGAAAGCAAGCATGTGATGAGACGTGTCATGTATCAATATTCATACTCAACATTATTGGTGATCAAAAACTAAATCAGATAGCTTAATCTATGATAATGCACATGAGATTAGCATCAACCAAAATTCCAATTGTTAACTAGATATTTAAGCAATCTTTGGAAAATTAAATGACTTACAAGGTTAAAAGAACTATCATCTCATCAATCTAATTCTGTAACAATATTCTGAGTATGAATATTGTTGCTTGATACGTCTAAAAAAATAGCTTGGATTAGGCACAAATCTTGAGGCATATTTGACTAGGAAACTTTCAAAATTAAATTCGGGATCATTTGAACTCCGATCTCAGCAAACTTATGGTTAAACCGGACATTTTGGCAAGACAAATCCAACGACATCAAAATTGGTCCAATTCAAGCCAAAATCAATGGCCTAAAGCATATTTGGAAGCTTCAACGCATTAATTGGATGATAAAATGATCTCTAAATTGGTCAAGCTTATAGTTGAATTGAGAAGCTCGACAAAATTTATCCAACAAGCCCAAGATTGCTTAAATCTGATGTCATTAAGGCACTGAAATGCTAAACGAATGTTTTATGACTGAGGAGATCAATATAAGTTATCTTATAAAGCACTCTGAATTTGCTCTAGATCTTCTCCATATTTATGAAGCGTACCACTGCAAAAATCTATATATAGGCTCTCACTCCTTACATGGAAGAGGCTTGGACCTCGGGCTAGAAATCAATAGAGCTCTAAAGCATAAAGAATTTTGGTGCTCCATCCAGACAACACCATTGGTGAACCCTTGCCCCTCGACCATCGCCATTGAACTTTCACTAATCGATCGTTGATGGACAACCACAGTCTCCATCACCAAACCTCAACCTGGTGCTGCAACTAAAAAACCTTTTCCCAACCATCATCATCGGAACTCCACTCGACCGTCACTATCAGGCATTTGCTCAACCACCAAACACAGTCTTTGGACCACCGTCACCCGACTATTGTCTCTCTGACCTCAATCACACAACTACAATCCTCTATTGCTCGAATATGGCCCAATTGCTCATCGTCATCTTATGGCTATAGGACTTTTGACCTCCGTCACCCAACTACTACGACCTCACAGACCTTCGTTACTTGATTACGGTCTCACCGACCTCCATCACTATTTAACTACTTTCCTTCTGGCCTCCTTTGCTCACTAATTATGGTCACGCGAACCTTAGTTTCCCGACTGTAGTCCTTAGTCTCCATCTCCCGACTACGATCCCTCCGACCTCCATCTCCCAACTACGGTCCCTCGGACCTCCGTCGCTTGACCACGGTCCCTCTAACCTTTATTGCCTGACCACAATCTCTCTAACCTCTCCATCGCCCGACCACAGTCCCTCCAACCCCCATCTCCCAACCAAGGTCCCTCCGACCTCTGCCGTATGACTACGATCTCTCCAACATCCGTCATATGTCTATAGTCCCTCCGACCACTGTCATCTGACTATGATCTATTCGACCACTATCGCCCGACTACGATCCAACTAATGAAATGAGCATGCCAATATTTTCTTTAGAACAACTCTCATGTCTTTATATTCTTTCAACTCCAAACATGTAATTTGCTTTATATGATATACATTTGCTACATTAAGCTAATAAGCCTTGCCCTGTAGAAGGTATTGTGGGCTCTGAACCTGATAGACCCAACCTGATAGAAGGATCATTTTCGTTAGCTATGGGTTGCTTCATCCAAGGGTACTTTGTAGACCTGGGGTGGATGTTTAGTTACGGGGCAAATTTAAATCCATCTTATCTAATAAAGGGCTTTATGCCCTATTGATTATATCCTATTGATTCATATATCAAGGATTTGATACTATTGGGGAGCATACGAGCTCTAGCCATAACCGTAATGTAGTGGTTCCATTTGGCTGCAAACCATCCGGTTCAAAGGGCCCTGCTCATATTCAATATTATCTCCTAGAAGTGTTAGTATAAGAGCCATTGTTTCTACATCATATCCACCTTTCACCAATCTCAGGTGGTCATTAATTGTACTTATTTGCAGGGACAGATCTTCCACTATCGATTGCCAGTGTTGTCATTTTAATCTATAGGCATTATTGCCTGTGTTGGAGATTTCAATAATGCATATAGGAGATACTTATGCATTATACAACTATTTGTTGTCCTTGCAAGTACGGTGCATTTGGCCTCGTTGGGACTATTGTAGGAGTCCACTTATTTATCAATATTATTTATTGTGTATTGTATATTCAGGTATTGATGATTGATCCCTATTTGTAGTTGCTTATATTGATAATCATTTAGTGTATGTATGCCTTGGGGTCATTATTCATCAATTGCCAATGTCACCCTCTCAATCTACAGGCTAACTGTTGGTTGCATGATGGGTCTTTGATTGCTGCATGTGGGTAGTACTTATGCATTTGACCTCGTGGGGACTATTGTAGGAGTCCACCACATCTATCACGTATAAATTAGCATCATTCATTGTGTGCTTATATATTCAAGTATTGATGATTGGTCTTTGTTTGTGATTGTAGAAATGCTGTGAAATGCCTCTCTTATTGTTTGTGTGTACTGAGGTCTTGTTTGTCACCCAATAGTGTCGCCATTTCACCCCACATATTGATTATTGCTTGCATAGCAAGTTCTTTACTATTGCATGTGGGTAGTATTTGCGTATTTTTAGTTGACTAATTGTTGACCTCCATGTAAAGACCAAAGGAGAAGAGCATAAATTCTGCATACCTCGTTCGATCGAAGAGAAGCCGTCAAATCCAGCAAATCCCGCGCGTCTCAATCCGTAAATCCCGCAAAATCGCTGTAGCACGGCGCCGTTCCGGGATGTCTGCGGAAATCCTGCGACCAGTCCTCGATCCCACTCCTATTTCGGGTCTTTAAATATCGAACGAAGCCAAGGCGATGGCTGCTCGGCTCTTCCCCATTCGCTATCTGCCCGACTCCACTCTCCACGACCATACGACACTTCCTCTCGGGAACTATTGTAAGAGTTTGTTACATTTATTAGCATCAGCTGTTGTGTACCATAAATTCATGTGTTGATGATTGGTATTCTTTTGTGATTATTCAGATGCTGTGAATTGAGTATTGCTTCTTGTTTGTATGCATCGAGGTCTTGTTCATCACGAGCCCTCTGCTTGTTTGCTTGTATTTGTTTAAATGCATTAAATTGTTATTTGACTTTTGCATTTTGATCTTGATTGTGCATTTTGGGATTTAGGATTTAATTTCTTGTAGTTCAGTTCAAGTCATGTCCCTATTGTTCGTATAAATCCTCTACACATTTCATTTAAGTTCTACACATTTATGTTTAAGTACAGATCCTCTGTATTGCAGCTCAAGTTGAGACTTTTTATTGTTCAAGCTTTGTGTGCTTTAGTCTTAATTTCGCCAGCATCCCCTCATATCCCCCATTTTGGGGAAATACGGGGAGTCATAGCCTGCCCACCACGTCAAGAAAGACATGCACAGTCGGTGTTTAAAGACATCGCGACAGTAGTTTTCAATCCCACCATGCCAATCCACGCCCAGCAACACTAACATTAATCCAATCCACACCCAAATGGGCTAAAATTATATTTGAAAATTTCAAGATACTAATTGAATGATCAAATGATCTTAAAATATGACATTCTTATAGTTGAATCGAGCGGCTCAATGAAACGAATGTAATAAGACTAAAATTGCTTATTTTTTTATTCATTAAGGTACATAAATGTTAAAAAAACACTTTATGATCGAGGGTATCAATATGAGTTGTATGATGAAGCACTTCGAATGTACTTTAGATCTTTTCATATTTACAAATCATCCCAAAATAATTATAAATAGGTCCCCACTCCTCACATGAAGAGGAGGCCTGGACTTGGGGTTAGATATCAAGAAAGCTCTAAGGCTTAAAGAATCTGAGAGCTCCACGTAGGCACCACTACTGATGACCCCTTGCTGTCCAACTATCACCATCGGACTTTCGCTAGCCTATCGTTGTCAAACATCCACTTAGTAGGTGCAGCCGGACCTTAACCTGGCCGTTGTAGCTAGACCTCTGCTAGACCATCGCTGTCGGACCTTCGCTTGACCGCCATTGTTGGATATTTGTTGCATCGTAGAACATGATTTTCGGACCACCGTTTCCCAAATATGGTCCCTCCGACCTCAATCGCCCGACTACGGTCCATTCGACCACCATCGCTAGACTATGATCCATATCTGACCACACTCGCTTGACCATGGTACTTATAATCTCAATCGCCTGCCGACTACATTCCTTAGACCACCATCACCAGACAACAATCTTATATACATACATCACCCGACTACAGTCATTCGACCTTAGTTGCCCGATTATGGTCCTTCTGACCTTTATTGCTCGTCGACTATGGTCATTTTTACCATTGTTGCCTGAATATGGTCTTTCGACCTCAGTCACTTAACAACAATACTTTTGACTTTCGTTGCTCGTTGATTATGGTCCATCTAACCTTCATAGCTCAAATATGGCATAATCCTCCATCATCATCTATTGATTACGATCATTGATCTAACCTTCATCGCTTGACTACTACAGTCCCATGAACCTCCATCACCTAACTACTATCTGATCAACCTCCATTGTCAGTCGACTAAAGTCCTTCTGGCCTCCATCACTCACCAATTATGCTCCTTTGGACCTCAGTAGCCCGACTTCTGTCCCTAATCATTGTTGCCCGACCATTATCCATTTGACTCATGTTACCATATTACAGTTCCTCTAACCTCCGTCACCTACTAACCACCATCACTCGACTACGGTCCCTTCGACCTTTAGATCACCATCACTCTACTACGGTCCCTTCGATCTTTATCACCTGTTAACTACGGTCCCTTTGATCGTTGTTGCCCAATTATAGTCCTTCCGACTATAGTCCTCGAACCACCGTCACCCGACTATGGTCCCTCCAACCTCCGCCACCTAACTACGATCCCTCTAATGTCCATTGCCTGACTACGATCCCTCTGTCCATTATTGCTCAACAGTGGACCCTTTGACCACCATCACTTGATAGTAGTCCTACCGACCAAATGAACATGCTAATGTTCTTTTTAGAACAGTTCTTATGTCTTTGGATTCTTCTAATTCTAAACATGTGATATGCTCTATATGATATATATTCGCTACATTGAACCAATGCCTTCCTCACCAGGAAGGCATCCTTTGTAACCAACGACAACACTATTGGAATCATTTCACTTGACCCACCCAAGCTCCATGATTTTTTTTTCCTTTCCAGGATTTTCCACATAAAATTTCCGATATATTTTATGACTTTTGCACTCCTCTCTTGTCTGTTTGGTTGATCGATCTTCATACAAAACTAGGACGTTAAACACTATCTCTGTATCACTGCAAATGTTTTAACACAACAATACCATTGATGAGTCCGAAAAAAAGACGGTTAGTTTTAAGTATTTTCTTTAAAAAATTACTCTATTTGGAAGATATAACTACTGACTATATTTTAGTTAATTTGAACTCATAAGAAGAACAGTTATAAATTTATGTTAACTTAATTAAACCCTAAACTATTAACAATTAAATAGTTGAATTTTATGAATAAGGCAATATTATTTTCTTCTTCCTTGAGAAATGATCACTACATTATTTTTCGCATCAAACGTACGTAGCGCTTAGACCATCCGGTATCCTAAAAGTGCTTATGTAGCTTAAACAAGATATTGAAAGATTATCCTTTTGTGCTGTGTTGAGGCACCCAATATTTTAACTCGAGTGGACATAGATAACAAATATTTTAATATTAGAATATCAAATAATTCTTTTTTACTCATAAATTTAAAATTTTAGATTTTTAAAATAATTTAATTATTGATGTATTAAGCTTAATTTTAACCGATCTTTGATGAATCATCCCCAACATAATTTATGTTTGCCACAACTATATCATCAAATATCATAATTTCTTTTTCATCTTTCGATTAAAAAAAAAAACATTTTTTTTAAAGTAATATAATCTAAAATATCCAACTCAAAAAAGGTCACCCTACTCAATCCAAAAATACCATATACCCATATTTTATAAGCTAAAATATGGTTATTAAAATAGGTCAAGTACAACACATAATATTGATTTGCTGCTGAATGAGTTTCCAATGTGTTGAGTAGTGTCATATATTAAAATATAAAAAAAAAAACTAAAAAATTATTAATAAAATAATCACCATGGTTATTAACTTATTTTATCTCCATTCCCTTGATATTCCACTAATGTTCCTTTCAATGGGGAGGGGTGGTGCTTTTCCTAAAGAGTTCGACCTCTTTAGATTATAGTTCCCTCTTTCTCTCATGCTAGTGATCAAACCATCAATAATGACTCTCTCTTGCGATGAGTTTTTTTATTATTATTATGGCAGCATATGTAACTCATTTTTTTAACTTGTTTAGTTGGAAGCTTTGATTATTAATCAAGAAGTCTTGAGTTCAAAACTTACGTGTCTGATGCGTTTGAGTTTACCTTATTGCCTCAGATGTCCAACAACAAAAAAATTTATGGCAACATCTATGTAAGGACATTCATCATTGATTTGATAGAAAAATAACCCTCACCTAATGAGGACAATAGTTGGTTTATTTCCTTATTTAAAAATGATCAAGTGTATCCCTATTAAGTCATTTACTATAAAAAAAAGGAAGAACTTAAGCCTTTATAAATTTATTATTTTAAGAAGGGAGGATTTGTAGTGGCACTCTTAGACCCCGTTTGGGACGGCTTTTTTATTGCTTTATAAAATAGCTTTATAGTACAAAAATTAAAATTTTTGCATTAGAAAGCTGCTTTAAGAAGTAGCAAAAAAACCATCCCAAACGGAACCTTAGTTCAAAGCATCCACTGTATTGGAAAGCTTTAAGTTAAAAGATTCACCATTCATAATAAAAATCCAATACTCTGCCAAGTTTGGGAATAAATAATATATCATTTATTTGCATTCAATCAACTTTAAATATGGATGCTGCTTGTAGAGCAATTATATCCACCATCATGCTCCTCACTAATGATGTGAAGGGATTCGTAGTATAGTTATTTATGAGCTCAATGCTAAAAATCTATCATTCATAATAAAATTCATGAGATATACATGATAAGTGTGAGGACCTCATCAAGGTTTCAAGAAAGCTTTCTAATTATTTTTTAAACTTGATGTTGAGAATGTAAATTTTTTAACTTGGTATAAAAAAACAACTTTCTAGTACAATTTTTTTCTTCAAAAAGAAAAAAAAAACGAAAAAGTAATGATCAAATAAAAATTATGATTGCAATCTAAAAAATAAAGCAGTAAGAAAGCTACCCCAAACAAGGCCAAAGTCAAAAGAGCAATTTGTAGTTAATTTTCATTCAAAAACTTACTAAGATTAACCTTTTATCTTGGAAAAAATAAAATCCATGAAATACAATATTCATTAAAAATAAGAACAACATTTTTTAAAAATATAAAATTGATTTTATTTTATAATAAAATAAAATTTAAAACATTTAAAAAAACATAAATAGAAAATGATTCTAAATGCCCCCTAAGTTGAGGCGGCTAAGGGTTCATTAGGAACAACTTTGTTACTGTTTTCTAAAATTATTTTTTAGTATAAAAATTTCTTGAACTAAAAACTTTTGTAAAAAAAAACTATTTTAGAAAACAGTACATCAAAAAACATCACTTTAAGAGAGAAAGCCACCAATGCACACCAAAACTAAATACACATAATGCACATGAAAAAGGAAGAACTAAATATAAGAGCCACGCCACATGATTTCTCTTTTATGCCTCCCAAAAACAATAATCATCGCTTGATTCGAAGTCTAACCATAATTTCTTTACTCTACCCTTCTCCTAACAAGTCATAGTTTGGAAGTTAAATAACAATTTTCTTACAACTATCATACTCTAACAAATCTTATTATAAAAATCTCGTTGCTACATAAAATTCTACAATGCAACAATAAAACTATAGCAAAAAAGAGCTATAAAAACTCTCTATAAAATAAAAAAAGATGCACAAAATAAACCATAAAGACCCCGACATAACATAACAGCAATAAATCAACTATGACCTCACTTGAATAGATACCAGCTATCAATTAATCCCAGTGAGGAAAAGGGGAATATCTCAGCTATTTAAGTGGAGTAAGCGCAATATGACCTCACCTTTGGGGAGGAAGTTCAGTGGCCTTAACTTTCTTCTTGCAAGTGGCTTAAGTGATGCAACCAGCACTCTTTTTTTCCCATAAATTCTGAGGTCTGGTAGAAACCTTGAGAGAATATTAGCAAATATGGCAGATACAAGCCGTGTTATTGGTGGAATTCAAGCATATGTAAGCTATACAATTACAGATGGTGGTGGCAGCTATGGTGGGGAAAAGATATGGAAGGAGCTTCTCGGCAGGCCATTTTTTTATGTAGGAGATACGTATGAGGATTTGAAGTGGTGCATGTAAAGGAAAATTAGCTTCACAAAGATATTTTTTAAGCTGGACTTCCTTTCAATCTTCTAAAAAATCCACATTACAAGATTGCATTTACTTTTTTTCTTTTAATAGCAACCATTCAGGATATATTCCATTTGGACACATATGTAATTAAATAAAAGTTATTGGGGAGAGAAAGAGAGAGATGTAAGTACCATCTACTAAATCTGTGCACAATTGCACTTGTTCTGCCCAGATTCAATAAATATAACCTATAAAAAATTTTGGATTCATATCCTCTGGATGTGCCTGTGAGTGTTGTTCTATGTGCATAGAGTATTTGAATCTATTCTGAAGCAGGTCCTGGGAGTCTGTGTGCATAATTGAAACTTCTGAAATTTTCCCTAGGAGCATAGCATTGTTGGAGTAGGCAGCATTGCGACATTAAGGCTTCTATCTTTTTGGCCAAATTAATTCAACCTGTGATGCTGGGGGTGGTGTTGTGGTGTCATGCTCTCCAGTAGAGAGCGTTGCGGCACTATATTGTCGAGCGTCATGGCGCCATATCTGAATCTTATAAAAATATTATTTTTCCACTCATTTCATTTTTTTTTATCAAAACCTATTTTGCCCCTTAAGCAACTGCTAGAGAGAGAGAGAGAGAGAGAGAGATAGAGAAAGAAAGTTAGGTTTTAGCACCTCCAACTCATTTTCTGTTATTGGTCCAATTCGAAAAGTTTTCCGGATCTAGGTATGTTACGTTCTGCCTATCTCTATTTTCAACAATATAAAATTTTTGAAATTTTTCATGATTAAATTTATAATTTTGTAGTGTAAAAATGAGAATAACTTTACAACAGCTAAACTTTTAATAGGTAACTTTCTGCATGTTATAGATATGACTATTCTTAACGTTTATGTATTTTTTGAACAAATTCTACCAGGTAATTTATGAGTGTGCCATTTTTATCAAATACAACAACAACATCAAGCATTTATCCCACTACGTGGATGAATCCTTTTTCTCCATTATGTCCTATTTAGAGTCAAATTATCATTTAAGTCTAATAAAGAAATGTTATTTTTAATATTTTCTAGTCAAGCCTTTTTAGGTCTACCTCTACCTTTCTTAAGATAGGCCATATTTAATACATAAACTCTCCTAACAGGGTCATCAAAATACCACTGTTTTACATGACCATACCATATGAGGCAACTCTATTTAGTTTTATCTGCCACTGGAGCTACTTCTACCTCTTCACGGATATGCTTGTTTCATATCCGTCTCTAAGAGTAAATCCACTCATCCACCTGAGCATCCATCATTTTTATCAAATAAGAAAATAATTTGATTGTAGAAAATAATGACGTAGTATAATTAAAATTTTAAAATAGTGTTCTGAATAATCCTTGAAAATCAAGTAAAATTTTAAAAATGTAAGTTTCTGCTCAATAAATAAATATGTTATTTAATGGTAAAATATTATGTGAATATCTAAACATTTATCTATATTTCTTTTATTGCAATGCAATAAGATGTGTTTTTCTACTTGAAATGTGTGATTGTGCAGAGGTCTGATATTGGAGGAAGTTCTAGAGCTAAATGCATAGGAAATCATAAGGGTTTGAATTTCTAAACATTTGATATGCGTTAAACATTTAGGAGTCATAAGGGCATGTTTTCTTTCTGATATGCTAATATATTGAGTCATAAGGGCCTGAATTTTGATATATATTTATGATGGGAGGTATAAGTGCATGTATTCTAATATATGTTTATGATGAGAGGTATAAGGATCTAAGAGAAATTGTTTCTTTCTACTCTGAGATATGAAGTGCTTAATTATTCACTTTTAATACACAGTCCTTTTTATTTCAGTTATTTGCAAATAATATTATGCTTAGTATGATAAATTTTGTATGAACTGACTTTAAATTAAGTTAAATATGTAATAAGTGAATTATAAGAAATTTAGATCAATTGGTGTATTTTCTTTACTTACTGAGTTATATTGGCTCACACTTATTCAACACTCTATTTTAGATATGGGGAAAGGGAATAGCCAATTAAGTAGCTCAGGACTCAAGATTTGATCTATTTGAGTGTGTAGAGGTTTTTTTTTTAATTTTGGTACAATTATAACTAGTTATATAATTGCTCTATTTTGGTATATAGCAATGCACTGTAATGTATAATTATTATATATACATTTTGATGATGAATGAAAAAAATAAACTTATGGATGAGTATTTTCTTGTACTTACCGAAAGTTAATTAGAAGCTTTGTGGTCAGGTTTAATTCAAAGAAATCTAAAAAAGTTCAAAAAATTTAGATCTTGAGCGTAATCTATCACAATTCAACACAACATGACATGTTCTATCTATGGGTCATATTGGATTGGGTTGTGATAAGAAATTCATTATTGAAAATAAAATTAAACCTACAAAGAGATTGAGAAATGAGAAAGGAATTAGCTAGATGTGTAAAAGTTAGACGAATCCTCAAAAAAGACCACTCCTAAATTTTATGAGAGACAAATAATTACCTAATATTCATTAAAACTATCAATTGTGAAGGGCTATATAAAGATAAATTATTCATTTTCAATTTGATCTAAAAGATAATCATGATGATTGGCTTTCAAATATTATTCAAATTATTAGCGATAATGAACTAGTTGGTAGAGCAACAAAGCTGTTTGTAGAGCAAACATATCCTCACATCTATCAAAATTCATGTGTTGTGCATACTCTCAATTTTGCTCTAACAAATATTTATTTAGCTAAAAATACTGAAGTAAAAGAAATCACTTATAATAAATGTCATTGATCGCAATGATTGTAGGAGATGCTATTTTAATTAGATTTTTAATATTGAATCACTCTATAAATTTTTTTGTGTTCAATGAATTCTCAAATTTGAGAATGTTTATTATTGTTGAAATTCATTTGGCCTCTATTATAGTAATATTGAGAAGATTTAAACAAATAAAAAATGCAGTTCAATCCATAATGATCAATGAGAAGTGCTCATTATCGAGAGAATAATATTGAAAAGATAAGATATAATCCATAATAATCAATGAGAAGTGCTTATTATCAAGAGAATAATATTGAAAAGATAAGACATGTAAAAGAAAATATATTCAATGATTTATAATGGGATAAAATCAACAACATTTTAATTTTTACTGATATGTGATGCTAAGAATGACAGATATAAATTATTCCTGTTTATTTTGATTATGAGATATGAAATTTTATGTTGGCTAAAATGAAATATATATATATATATAGACATGAAACAAAGTTGCACGATAAAGTAAGTTGTTAAGAGTGTTATCTATATTATTCTAGAGGATATTTGGAGCAAAAATAATAAGCCTCTATATTGCTTAGCTCACTCTTTAAATTCAAGGTAAATTTTAATATATCTTTTATAATTTTTCAATTTGTTGAATATTAATAATCTAATTTAATTTTTTTTAATATTATTTAAAGATATCAAGTAAAAAATGGTTTTATAAAAAAATTTAGAGATTTCAAACATAAAAAATACATGCTTGAAATATTATTTTCTGAATGAGGAGAAACGAATGATTAATATAAAACTTGCTAAATTCTATTGATATTTAAATGACTTTTGCGATCAAGAATCTTGGGGTGATAAGTAGAGAATTGATCAAAAATTTGATGGTTGATTCATGGAGCTTTGATACCTCTAATTTAAGTGATTGTTATATAAGACTCCGTGATCAAGTTTCATCCTCCTCTAATTATGATAGAAATTATAGCATATACTCATTCATTCAATAAATGAAAAGGAACAAAATTACTCAACAAAGGCCGAAGATTTAATTTATGTGTATACAAACCTTCGTTATCTATCTAGAAAGACCCCAATTTATATAGAATTTAAAGACAAGATGTGGGATATTATTGGAGATTGATTTGAATCTCTTGATGATATGAGAATATTTGAGATTGCAATTCTCTCTTGATGAGCAAGAATTGAAATCAGTGATGTTTAATGATGATGATATTGAAGGTTAATGTTAAACCCCTAAAAAAGTTAATACAATTACTCCTTTTAGTGATTAATTGAAGCCTGATATTATATTATACTGTTTATGCATTTTTTATACTATACTAAACATTTAATTCTTTTTTTTTTTATATTGTAAGCTAGACAACTAATTATGACATTGATTTATCATTTATTTTTCATTCATAAAATTATGCTTCCTTAATTTCTGTGCATTATTTAAAAATTATAATTTTGTGTCCAAGTCATGCACATGTCTTATATTTTCAATAATTGACATATCTCATGTCCTGCCATGTCGCATATATATTGCCTTATCGGAGCAACCTAGCTTGTCACGATCGAAACATATTGCAATATGCTACAAGGACATACACCTGAGAAATAACCCGTTGTTGAGATATAAAAAAATGTCCACAACATGTGAAAACTAATAATTAATAATAAATGCTAATATTAAAGAGTTTTTAACAAATATAATAACACAATTCTTTCTTTATTAATAGTGTTTTTCTTTTTGTTATTATTAAGCTTCTTTTATGAAGTATATACATACATACATATATATAGATATATATATATGTGTGTGTGTGTGATATCATTCTTCACCCAGTAAAATGTTTAGCAAAAAATACTATAAACAATATATTTTATATTAATAATTCATAAAATATAATATTATGTCAATGACGTGTCATGTCCTACTTTTTATAACTATATCGTGTCTCGTATTCGTGCATATGTTTCGTAGTTCAATAACAATTACTTGTGCGATTTAAAGCACAAGGACCTGTTATTTGGCCTGCACTTGGGCCTTGACAAGTACATAATTTCTTAAGAGAAAAACAGAAAAAAATTTACACTAGCATACAAGACTTGAAAACATGATTTTGTGGAACATTCTTCATATCAGTGAGGGTGTGTGTAGGAATATTTTCCATATAAAAAAGCTAAACCCTTGGGAATAAATAGTTGAATAACTTGTCTTGGGGAACTTAATATGACAAACCAAGAAGTGATGATATGCACAGAATATTAACAGCAAATGCCTCAAAAAAAAAAAAAAATCAAGTAGAAGTAGAACATATGCAAAGTAACTTAAAAGAGAAGCTAACTGGAAGTTAAAAGAGTCACCTATCACTTACCTTGATTCTACAGGGAGTGTAGATGCTTGACTTTCTGAATGACTTGTTTAGCTTTGGATAATGGCTCTTCATACAAGATGGCAGGATCATCAAACTCTGGAGCCAAGCTTGGCTCCCCAAGAAAGGCGCGAAACGTGTCTACCACAGAGTGGGAGAGAGATTGGAGATTATATCCACCCTCCAAGAAGAACACGCATCGTCCCTTGCATAGCTCCTTTGCCAGTTGCTTGATGCTTGATGCAAGCATGTAGTAAGTGCCAGCAGTAAATTGTAGACCAGCCAGTGGATCAAGCACATGGGCATCATAGCTGAAAAGAATGTAATTTCAATCCACTATAATGGCAAATTGACAGTTCAGGTGTCAGAAATACTTCATTGGCATATAATAGATTTCTATAGACTGGATGGAGCCAAATTATAAAGAAGGATACTAATAGTGTCAATGCTCTATCAGGTATAGGTGAAAATTTGTATTATGATGGTAATGAAAATTTAATATTTTTCCAGGGGATTGCTGAAAAATAATTGACTCACCCAGCTGAGACGAGAATAATATCTGGTTTGAATCTTTGAGCACATGGTGCAATGACCTCGTCAAAGACATTTCTCATAGCATAATCACCAGACCCTCCAGGTAGAGGCAAGTTCAATGTTGTCCCTTCACCTTTTCCTTGACCAACCTGTTCAATCTTCCCAGTACCAGGATAACTTCCAACCTGTAGTAGCAAACTAAAAGTAAGTTGGGAAAAATATTGAATGCGTAAAAGAAACTCAACATCCATTGGATTTATTTTGAGACGGAATAAAATTACACACATCCCAACAAAACAAATTCAGTGACTTAAAGGCTCATTAGAACTAAATTTTGATCAAGACATCCTCACCAAATTTTTTCCCAAAAAATACACCACGCTTACCTCCATTTCAGACAATTAGGACTGCAACTTTATTTAGGTAGAGCTAAGAATAGTACCTAAAGCTATTATCGCAACAGAGGAAAAACAATCTTTTTATGATCCTAAAATAATATTTTAAAATATTTCCCAAGCATTAGAAGAAGAGGTGTGTTTATTTGTTTATATGACAAAGTTCTCTTATGATGCCAAGCTAGTCTGATGCCACAATGAGGACTAGCATCTGTAGGAGTCCCTCAAAGCAACCAATAAAAGCATGCTTGGAAATTAGGTTTCCCTCCCGCATCAAGAGGGCTTTTCTTCGTCGGATCATCTCTTCCACCTATCACATACTATCACATGAGCTTCATCTTCCTTCTCTCTAGCACCTTTTCTTAAGGGATCTTTCCTTGACATAATGCCTTCTAGCATTGTCATCTTGCGCTCTTTCTCGCATCCATGACTTCCTATGCTCAACTACCATCCACTCGGACTATATTGCAGATTGATCTCTTGCCATCCCACTACGCCAATCTTCCCTACCATCTTCTTTCATTGATCAACAATTATCTTCCTCCCACCAACAAATTCTCATATTTGTATCCTTCTTCCTAACACACTCCTAACTATTGGCATTCGCATTTTCAGGACCTGTCCCGGAGCCTCGAATTAACAAGGTCGAAATAGAAGATTTAATGGTTAATTAAAATTTTGCTTTCTAAAATTTCAATCAATAAACTATTTTCAATTTACTGAAAGAGCCATTAAGTCCTTAATTATAATTTTTTAAAGTTAAATACTATAAATATATCTCTCTCGTGCGTCATGTCTACGACACATGTTCTATCTTTTTTTGCTTATTTAAATTCTTCGATCGATTCTTAGGTCCATTAGCAAAATATGATAGAATATACCATCTAAATAGTTTCAATTAAGACACTTCCATTTATATTACCTTTTCAACAATCATTTCCAATACATTTTCATGCGTACGAGTATATTACATCCTCAAACAGTACCATAAGGAGTGTACTACATCATTCAATCATGCACATATAAGCATCCTTATAAGAGTCATTCCATTTACACTTTCATAACATTTAATATTTTTCTATTACTTATATAGCATAAAGCAAAACTACTTAATCAAAACATGAATGATCATGTGTTTCAAGATGATCTATCTTACTAAAGCAAAATTTAATCATAGATAAATTTGCAATAACAATTGTATAACGAAAAAATATTTTTGTACAATTAATTTAGAAGAAACAATACTATTTTATAAATTAGGAACATAAGTATTCACCTCATTTTTTAGAAATTATATCTTGCTTTTATTGCTCCTTAACACCACCTCTTTTATTTTATAACCAATATCCATGTATGATCTCATAATTTAATATTATACAAATATATAAATTTATATTTAATTAATATTTATAATTTTCTAACATAAAGTCTAACACTTCATTAACCAAATTTTGTACTAGTTTTTTTTATCCATTAAATTTTCAAAAATTAAAACTAGTTTACATAAACCTCTAATGTAGATGTTTTTAATACTTCATTCCTTACTTCGACCTCGATAGATTTAATACTTATATAAAAACCTTAATATCATCAAAATTTTAAATGATGAATCGCTCGTAAGTTCTCCAACTAGATATTTAAATTTCCTTTTGAGAAAAAATAATTTATTACTTAACATAATAATTATTTAATCTACTAATTAAATTCTCATAAATGTTTTAATAAAAAAAAATATATGCTTTCTCTCTACATATATATGTATAAATTTACTAATATTTAAGAGAAAATTCATACATAATCATCATTATTTCCTACAATAAATGATATTTTAAATTTACTATTACAAATAAATTTTCATTACTTAACATATATGTCTACATAAATTATATTCTTTCATAAAAATTAAAATATATCACAATTAAATAATTTTTATTTTAAATTTATAACACCACCTATTATTATTATTATTATTATTATTTTATATAATTCATTAATTTGATATAATGGCATAATTTGAATTATCATTTAAATTTCAACTCACTATATAATTTTTAGATTAAAAAATTATAATATTAGGAATCTTCCAAATCTTCTCGTTCATTAAATATCTTAATATATTTCAAAAAAACTAACTTCAAATAATTTATAAATTTCTTATGAATAAAATCCAAACCTTTAGCTACTCAATCTTCCGCTCTTAATGCCACAGTCCCAAAAGAATTAGTCTCTAATGTTAGTGCCACAAGTATTTGCATGTTTACATGCTTGCATATCTATTTGCATGTTTATATGCATATATGCATTTGCATATACATTTGTGCATTAATAAACATGCTTGCATGACATTTTTGTATATTGTTGGTATGCGTATATGATGCTCTGACATATTGCTTGACATGTGTGCATGATACACATGTATGTTGTATGTTTGCATATTTGGATGTTTGGATGTGTAATTGCATATACCATGGCAGGCTCGTGCAATATACTTGCATGTTCCATAACATGCTTGCATGATGCACTTACACAAATCTCGATGCATTTGCACATTTGCATGAATCTTAGAGTATTTACAAAGTGCATTTACATGATTAATAGTATGCAAAAATACTATGAAGTGCGCTCATATAGTGCACTTAAATGTCTTCGGCTCATTCGCACTATACAACATACAGATGCATAAGCAACATTTTATTTTCATGATTTGATATGTCTCGCGCATTATAACAAGAGAGTTGTGCAATCCGTGACACTCACCAGTGTACTACTTTATTTCTTTTTAGGAATAAGAATTCATGGGGTGTATGAAGCAATCACAGGACGCATGAATTCCTTTGCCTTTAGCAGTTAGCATATACATCACTTAGGACACTCGGACACCTGTGACTCGCGACATGATTGATGATCTCATCGGGGAGCATTTAAATGGGTTGATTATCAGAGATATGTGAATAAATACTACTTGGTGCCATTAATATAAATGCACTATCGTAGGAGCGTAAATAACTTTTACATCAGGGTAATTATTACCCACATTTAGGTGTATTTACACTCATATTTACTCGCTTTCAAATACTTGGAGAATCCACTGCAGGAGTCTCAAAATGAAATCTTCACACAGTTTAAATATAGCCTCAAAATGACATCTTAACATTATTTCAACATGTAACTTCCTTGCTCACTTATAGTTGGATTTTTTTTGTTTAGGTGAGCCCCAAACATGACTATTTTTGGGTTATAAATATGAAACTCCATGGTTCATTCCACACATTTCAACTTGTGAAGAGAGTGTTGCTGAGAGATTTGAGTTAGTGTAAGTGAGTTAGCTAAGAACTAAATGGAGAAAGTTCTAGCTCACATTTGTACTTGTTAGTGAGAAGCCAATCTTCTAACAAACTTCATGTAAGCCCTATTGTATTTTGATTTCAATTTATTTTTCATTATTTTTTTTTTGTTTGCAACTTGAAATTTCATTTATTTTTTTATTAATTTAATTTTAAAATTCACTTCCTCCAAATTTTGTTTAAGTTCATTTAAATTGGTCTAAATTTTGGTAACACTCCAGTATCCTTCCCACATAGGGGACTACATAGAAGTGTGTATGGTCAGTATCATATGACACCGCAAATGTAATTTTTAATCTCACCAACCAAGAAAGGTAATACATGTGTCCTCATATACATATTTATAAAGTACAATATGTCTCCGTCCACCAAGAAAGAAAGTAATAAATACTTATAATCTCATGCATTATAGTATTTCCCCGCCTACCAAGAAAGGTAGTTATAGCCTTATAGGTACTTAGTAAACACATGCATCATAGTTTTTCCCCTTCTGCCAAGAAAGACAATCAAGAACACTTATAATTTCACCCCACTGCATCCTATATATTGCTTACGAGTTTCTCCTGCTGGCTAAGAAAAGCACGCACGGGTTTCACCGTCACATCACACACATCGCGCTTGAAATTTTGCAATTTATTAAAAAAAAAATTTCTTGAGTCGGGTTAGGGTTACACCTTAAAATACATGACGATGAGGATGACAACAGTTAAACAATGCAATTTATTAAAAAAAAAAAAACTTGTGTCGGGTTAGGGTTACACCTTAAAATACATGACGATGAGGATGACAACAGTTAAACAACAAAACGAGCCAACGCATAATTTTATTTTATTTTATTTTTTAGAGGGATAGAGTGGGGGAAAGAGAGAGGACTTCCTCTCTTTGTAGAGGGAGCAAGTGGGTGTCGCGATAGGGTTTTCCTTCCATTCTAAAGAAAGAAAAAATGTTGAGTGTTGAGATGAAAGAAGCAAAGTCTAGAGAGACAAATGAGCTTTCTCTCTATTTAAAAAGATAAATGATTTTCTCTCTCTAGATCTAGAGAGTGAAAGCGAAGGGATGCCAGGGTTTTGGTAGAGGGGGAGTAGGGAAGAGGTTTTGTGAAGGAAATGTGGGGATTTAGGGGCTGTTTGATTGCCTGGAAAAGGGGTGTAATGTATTCCAAATGCAAGGTTTTGAGAATATTAATGTTTAGTTTAAAGTAAAACAAATGCGGTGTAAATTTTGGTTTATTTGAAATTCATCCTCTAGTTTATTTTTGGTGGATGTAGAATTTCTCATATTTGGGCGAGAGTTCTAAATACACCACAAATTTATTGCAATTGTCGCCGCTCGACCACCTGTCACCGCCTCCGGCCACTACCGTCGGCCACCATTTTTGACCACCACTACTGGCCACTACTGCCTAGCCACCACTCGTTGTTGGCCAACTGCCGCTGCCCACCACCA